TGCACGCACACGCATACACACAGCGATGTACCACGGAGAACATGCACACCCCACGCGTAAGTTTACCGCATCACACCGCACCTTGATCTACTCCATAAACTACTAATTCCTAAACCCTGGACAACGAAGGATTTTCCATCCACACTGACTGTTGCCGAGATATTAGGTGGTCGTTGTTGGGTCGGAAATTCAGAACGTGAAACATTTGTGCCTTTTCCCACTTAGCGACCGCGATTGGATGCATTACGAGACAATCGAGCTGATAAGCGCTCACAAAGACAAAGTTAAAGTTGATCCGAACGTCAGTCAACAACAGTGGCCGATGCTGAATTCCTCACATCTGTCAAGCTCACAAATCGCTGAACTCCAGCAGACACCTCCTGGGACCGGATTTGTTCATACCTATGACCCAGATGTCAATGCTACTTCTGTATCAACACCGACAGGGGAACTGGTCACCTTGGTGCCGGCCAATGGAACTCCACGACAAGTTCTCAACAATCAGCACTCGTACTGGGGTTCAGTCACTCAAGCTACCGGAACAGATATTCCGGTGTCACACATCACAGATAGTGTTGGCACATATTACCCAACAACTCTGGTTCATCCAGATGCATCAAACACAACCAGCTCCTTACTTTGCCCAATGGGGAATGAGATGATTCAACGTCCAGGACCTATCCAATTCCAGTCCATGTCCAATACTCACTCAGTAACGACCACAATCTCAAACGCATCCAGTGGAACGCCAATCACCGCGGTGGCTAACAACACTCCGAAAACGCCTCGACAGCGAAAGAGTGAGTCAATCCTATTCTCGAGAGTGCTACATGGAAATGGTGTATGCATGGAATTTGTCATACTAGGACCTCTTTATACAATTTCGGGGTATGCGATCATTACTGGGCAGACTACTGAAACCTATGCTTATATGTAGTACGAGAGCTGTCTTTCTGATTCCAAGTTTATAATTACAGGTCAAAATGTTTCTCTGATAGTTGTCGACGGTGGGAAGATGATCGAATTAACACTGGTTAGGTATAGTAATGAAGCGCGCAGCCCTTGGTTATTAAATTAACCAAACACGTGATAAATAAGAATAAAACGAATAACATTACCTCAACTGGAATGAGCTGAGTTTTGACTTATTTTCGGTTGATTCGCCTCAACCTCGTCTCCTATTCGCATGAGTCCATGATTATTACCATTTGTTTCAGAAGATCCCTATATACCAAGCTATATGGATCCCGCCAACGGTCCGGAACCGTGTGTTGTATGCGGTGATAACGCGACTGGATTCCACTATCGGGCAATGACATGCGAAGGTTGCAAGGGCTTCTTTCGGCGTTCTGTTCAAAAGAAACTGGTCTACACGTGCAAATTCAACGGTCGCTNCAGAATCGGAACAGTTGTCAGAAGTGTCGATTTGATCGATGCATAAAGGGGGGCATGGCTAAAGATTGTGAGTCTGGAATGAACGAGCTGTCGTTGAATGTAAATAGTTATTGTATCTGTTTCTTTTTTCGGCTTCTACTGATTTCAAAGAGCACGGAGCGATAGCGCTGATATGCTTGGCATGAAATAAGAAAATTGGTCTGTTTAAATTGTAATATTCATTCAAACTTGATAAACATGTTGCTTGGACTCAATCCATTTCTTGGTCATACTAAGCCCTGCTGGTTTGAGCGGGAAGTGAAATCATGAAGAGGTCGTATTTTTTAGTCAACGGGTGACCCTTTTTTAAATATCAGTGAATACAGTAGAGTGGGGAAACTGTATAATGTAAGTAGGATTCAGAGGACGTACTGAAGCAAGAATCAAACTAGCTATTCCGCTTTTTGAAGATAAAGATGTCGTAGGTCATCTGTTGGGAGATAGTAAGGGAGTTTTACAGAGCTTTGTTTTTGATGAACGTTGACTGGAAGTTAGGTATTTTCCTTCTCATAATTTGGCTTATTATGTCAACGTTTATGAAGCGCCATATTAGTTTATAGTTTACTTTCCTGGAATCACAGCGTTTGTTTATCGTACCTTCTACAGGAACGTGCAGTCTCTACTTGAGTACTATATTCATTGACAATTTCCAGCAACGTAGGTAATTGCGCTTTCGGAAAATGACGTTTTACTATTTCATTATGAATCCGAATCGGAAGGGACGTCAACTTGACGGTAGTCAAAGCTTGAGTGTATCCACTTGTGGTTTTCACCGTCCTACTTTATCTCGGGGTATGGAT